TCCAAACTGTAACCAATTCAATTGTTTCACGAACCTTTCAGAAGACCCCTTCATTTCCTTTTTATGACTCTGTAGATCACCTGTGCTCCCACCCCCTCCTGTATTACTGCCATTTGGTCTGTTTGACTGACTTGAACTACGGCTACCACCAATACTCGATCGGCCCCTGTCCGCTCCAGCAGGTTTTCTATCAGACATGGAAAAATATCTGAAGCAGCGTATTAAAAACAGTAATCGGTTCAAAATCAGCATGAAACTAGAGGCAAAACCAACATCGATAACGACTTTCTGAATTAAAGTGAAGATATAAAAATAGAAGCAATACTACATTCTAGCATTAAGACCACGAAACCAAACAAATTTACGAACCTATGTTAAATCTTTCGTGAATATAATTAGGCACCTGTTTAGAGAAATTTAATACGAAATTGATTTATAAAACTTTGGAAATCACTAATGAATGAAGACGATTTCTGATGGGAATCACTAATGAACACAATGGCTAAATAAAAAAATTAGAACTCATTTAGAAGTAAACGGTCCAAAATATTCAACATTCAACAGTGACTAACTAAAAATATCTTTTTCCTGTGTACGCTTGATACGATTAAAGTAATTTAACACTTCTGAAAACCCTTCTAAATCATAAATCTGCTTGTAGAAAGCCAAACTGGAAAAGCGTTATTAAGAGAGAGGAAAAAGTAATGAGACTGTGACTATAACTATACATCGGGCATCCCATAGGCTGTTGCAAAAATCACTGGCGAACGTAACGCAGCAGCAAATCGTTTAGCGCAGAACGGACGCCAGCGAGAAATGGCAACGGCGCCTCTCAGCACACGCGGCCCGAGAAATCAATAATCTCAGTTTTGAATAGTTCGATTATGGTATAGCGCATAACCTGCGCATCAGCGATTTGGCTATATCCTTCTCGCAGCACTGTTGCTGGTCATTACCAACATTCTCCTTCTAGTCGCCATCCATCTGTAGCTTGCGGGAGTGGAAAGACCTAGTCAAGACTGGTACTTGGTGTTTTGTAGTTCTTTCTAGCCCCGCTTCATCGTCGCAATGTTCAGTTTGTTTAGAACGTTTAACATCACGGTTTCCTGTATTCCTGGTGAACGCCTGGAAGCAAGCGATTGAACCAGTGACGGAGCTACTTTGACTCGTAGGCTCGTTGTTTCCTTACGTTGTACGAGTTGTTCCAGATTTCAGTACCGTAGCCCTTTTCCAGTTAATCTTGTGATTGCGAAAAGTCTCATGTGTAGGGACCATATTCCGGAGTTTTGGAGGATGAATCACTGCAGTTAACCCATTCTGCAAGGTTGGTGATATTACATCATCCATCACTGTTTTTTAGATTTCACCACAGGAGGAGAGAATACTCAGTGCATTCGTTTTCACGTGCATTAAATTCCAGCTCACGGCGGCGACGAAGACGCATGAAGGTTTATATAGTAGATCAGAAACATCATTAATATATTCAATTTTTCCAAGAACTGGCATTATCTGAATGAAAAAGCCTGCACTGAACAAGACACATGCTTGAAAACTCCAAATAATTCATTTCAAAGCTTCGGTATGTCAAGCTGCAGAAATTAGAGGCAGAAAATTTGGTCAGGGATTTGAGGACGCCGAATGAACAGCAAATTGTTTTGGCGTAGCGTCAGTTTTGTGAAATAAATGGAAGTGATTTTTGCGGTACTGGGATTAGTAGAAAGAAGATCGTTACAGAAAAGACATTTAATGCAATTTAGAACCGGCATTAATAAAAGAAAACATGGGAACATACACAGTTATAAGCTTTTCATCACAAATTCATTATGTGCAGATAGCATCACGGGATTTATCCCGTCTTCCACGACGAACACTCAAAATTCGTAAGCATTTTTGAAACGGAAGTTGAAGGTTGTTCGTATAGTAGAGGTCACTGGGCAGTTGTTTTGATTATAGGGCAAGATTGAACGAGTAGTCGGAGAGGCGACAGGGAAGCTCAGTGTGGTCTCGTCGCGCAGACTGGCTGTGGTTCCTTTGATCGCTATTAATCGTCATTAAAGTGTCAGCCTGGTTTTTCTTTACATTTTGGAGTTATTTTTTCCTCGTGCGTGGAGCCCGGAAGTTACAGGGGAAGAAAAGATGCTTTTATAGGCCTTCCGTTTATTCAGTGTATGAGCATGTGACAAAGTAAAGTTCTCTAAGGTAGCACGGGAAAATAGTATTTATATAAACTGATACCAACTAATATAAAATGATAAACTCCTTCATTATATTAGAAAATTAGTTTCCGAAGTTCCTAGTAGTAATCCTGCTGGAGACGAAATTAGGAGATATGGTCCCAGCAAAATCGGAAGAACCAAGAAGATAAATAAGGATATGTAATATCATTGTAGACAATGACATAAGACGAAACTGCAATTAAATTATCTTACAAATTTTTCATCCGCCCGGAATGTTAGCAGTAAATGAAATAGACAATATAAACGTCAACAAAGAGTGTGAAAAAACGCTTGGCAGTCACTGGAATTTTGCCCGGTAAGAATATACAACTTCACTGAATTGTTTAAACTGACGCAGCGGATAGCTACGGTTGAGCTGAAGATACCGTTACCATCACTACAAAGCTGTGAAAACACCGGGTTTACAAAGTCCAGGACTCTTTAGTTCTTCACTAATAAAATTCACATGACTTGGAAAGACGGCTGGAATGACTCCTATATTTACTAGGACTAACAATTATTACAGGCGATTGAACGGCCATGAGAAGACGTGTGTAGAAGCGCTTCAGTGACGGGATAAATGTAGTACGAACCCTCACTGTTCCATTCCCTCTTGTACTTATTTTCTACTTAATGGAGCAAAAATTATTTCTTTTGAAGTGGAATCTTCCAAATTCTTCTACTAGTAATGCTAGTAATCATCTCGTCAGAACGGTTAACTAACCTTTTACCTGCCTAGAAAAAACTGCTAGATAGTACTCTTTTTCTTTAGCATAGAAATCGCCTAGGCAATCTTGGAGAATTACTGTTCCAGAAAGTTTTCGGAGTAACTTATCCTTTTTCCACTTTAAATGTCATGTACAGATTCCCACAAGTAATATTCCTTAATTCATTGCATAGCACTGTCGGGTTTTTTTATAGAGAGTCTGCATTAAAGGGCCAGAGTGCTGGCGGAAGGAAAAGCACTAAGTCATGACTAGATCTCGACGAACTTAGACAGAAGGAAAACAGTTTTAGCAGATCGCTTATAATGGGCGACAATACTAATTAAGAGGAAATAAACGTAAATTTTTGCCGGAAAAATGTTGAGACCTCTGCAGAAACAAATTGTAAAATTGTTTAAAAGCAGTAGATCTCGTTACTGTATGAGTTGTAGAATGTCACAGCAGGTTTAGCTTGCTAAATTTTGTTTCATCTTAGCCGCGGATAAAATAGTAATTCTCCTTATTTTCTGTAAGGAAAATGGTTTGGCCGCGTAAAACTATAACCGTCACCTTGGCCTCTATTTCTGCTGGACATAGGCATGTGTCTTTGAGCAACTTCTTGGCAACCGTTTTTCAAATTTCTGAATGATTCAACTTGCATTACGACTTCGATGGCAGAGACACGCAATACGATTTAACGACTTCGGAAAGTAGACAAAAAGTGCTTCTTACCCGTTTCAATATAAAGCTGAAATAATCGCCGTCCTCGTAAAAGATGGCTGAGTTTCGGAACAAAGAATAGTGAAGTTTCTGTCACATATCAAGAGACTGTAGATACAAGCTATATTTATAAAGAAGTAGGAAGAAGATTTCAATGGACATACATAGTAATGTCAAGAGAAAACTGTTCTAGGAAAACGCTACTTTTTTTTTCATAGGCCTTCATCGCTCGTATTTCATCCGAGTTTCATCAGATCAGGCTGCGGTCTTAAAAAATTTGTCGAGATGTAAAATGACGCGCTGCCAATTTGTGGCTGTTTGACTACTCACTGATCCGCCCTACCATGGGAAATGAACAGCTTGTTGCTTTGTACGCCTAGTTTCATCCATCGTTTCGCATCCAAATTCCTCATAAAACGTAAATCTTTGGCTCGTTGGACAGCTAAAGGCCCTGAAACATGGAAAATCAAGGAACAGTCAGAAAATAGTTTCTTATTGTATTATTAGCATTAGTACTTGCGTATGCCTGAAAACACCATTGATAACAATGAAGGAAAGCAAATCAAAGGACCTGTGATACCGGTCCAACCAAGAGCTTTATACTGTTTGATAATTTTATTGGTGATATCTCCTGATCGTTTCATCAATGCCGGACTATTTTCCGCCCTCAAGTGTTGTTTATAATACCGCTTCAAAGATCGATGACCAATTTGTGCCCCTGAAACAAACACATAAATCTATTCAAGTTCTTCCAAGAGATCGCCACTGCTACAGTTTCATTTAATTCGTCTCTTTTATCCGCAGCAAAAAATAAATAAGTAAATATCGTAATGTCTGAAACTATTACCTGATGGTAGAATCAGGGAAAAATCTTCTATGATTATGGGTTTTTCATCCTCATTTTCATCGTTGTACATGGGGCTAAAGAAATACTAGCTATTTTAGGTGTAAAATAAACATTGGCGAGAATGAAACAATTTCAAGATTTTTCTGTGAGAATAACCTGTAATCGTAGAATTCTTCGTACTCGAGCATGTCACTTGCCTCGTGTGCTACACGACAGTGTCCTTTGTCACGCATATGCTTCTGACATGCATCAACTGAATAAAAACGTCTCCGCTTCTCGTTGCATAACAAACACATGTTGCCACTGCCGACTTTCATACCTGTGATTTTGAAAACAGCGAAGATTACTTGACAATGAACAACTAAAACGCAAGAAATTTCGACATTTTTAGATACTAGACATTGACCTGCCTCTGATTTTCTAGAGTTAGCTTGAAGAATCGGAAAGAACTATGAAGCTGCAAAATCTTTGAAAATGAAACAGAACCAAAACCACGACTAGGACAGACCAAATGTCCAAAAATCCAAAGATTAGCGAGTGTCTAAAGAAATCAAGGGCATAAAAGTGAAGAGATGAAACTTTTTCACCTAGGTAATGCAACATCCCTTCAACATCCACACAGTATTCTGCATCTGGAAGGAAAAAACCATGAGAAACACTCATATGTTCCAGGTTCTTTTCTATTGTAGTAGAAGAAGTTGTACAGAAAAGGCAGTTTGTATTCGGAATCGCCTAGATTTAAAAAATTAGAAAGGTTCCGTAGACTTTGAAAAAGACCTTTCATTTGTTGCACAAAAATTGGATTTGCAAAAATAATAAGGAATTTCCAGCAAACTGCAAAGACCATTTCACAAGGACTGATGTAAATTTAGCGGAAAAACAGTCTTACATTTGTGGAACCAATTACGAAAAGTGGTTTTTTTTTCTGACTTGTCTAAGCAAGTTTTAATCCTGATACACACTTTAAGCTACTGAACCAAAAACTGCAAAAAACAGAAAAACAAACTTGTGATTCATCTAATTCATCCTCTTCTCCATCGGAGATACCGTTCGTCTCTAAAGCTTCATATTCAGCCTCTTCCTTCTCAACCTTTGTTAGGAAACCACTAGAAGACTCTTCAACCTTTCTCAAACTGTCATTTGCCCTCTGCTTCGCAGTATCTGGTTCCTGTATTCAGTTATCTTTTCAATATCACAGAGATAAGGATTAATGAAAGTATTTGTTACGGTTACCAAGTTTATATCTGTATACTTCATTCTCTTCTCACTTTCTCTATGTTTTTTCGAATTCGTGTGATTTTCAAAAGCGTTTTTAGACTGGAACTGTTTGTTACACAGTTCACAAAACTTCGAGCCCGCATCCTTCTCTTGTTCCGACTGAAAAATAATTCCGAATCACTTGTACAAAATATTTGACTGGATGTTGAATCTCACTGATGTACAGGATTTTCACAGAAGGAAGTAACTTATATAAACTCCGCTTGTCAATCCATTAAATTGAAAAAAACTTTTATTATTGTCCAAAGTTTACAGGATATCTAAAGGGTTTTTCAACCTGAAACAATTACTAACTGAGAAAAAATAACCATGCTTCTCAATGGTTTTATAATAATCAATTTCAAATTAATTTTGAACTAAGGGAAGAATATATTTCAAAAGTCGACTAAGTGCTACCCATACTGCTAAAAATAAGGAATGACCAGCAAGAAAACTGGTAAATTACCAGTTGTTGTACAGATTACATGTGAAGAACCCGTCTATTCCTATATGGCGCAAATTTAAGCGCTAATAAAACAAGTAATTGCTCTAAAAACTAAATAAAACAGAAGTTAGCGAGTAAACTATTTTTTACGTCATACAGAGTTCCCATGCAATAAAACTTTCTGTTCGAATCGGTCCAAAGTAATTGGAGGTAGTTCTGAGATCTGTAAATGTAATGGTCAGAGAGTTATGATGCAGCATGTAAAATGTGACGCCTTGATACCTCATTTGGCAAAATGGAGTTTTGTCTAATATCTTACTTTCCTCTGTAAGTTATAACGATGCCAGTCGCTTTTGTAATGTTCTCTTTGTATCAGGCTGTTGGCAAAAACAACTCGGCATGACAAGCAGGTTAATCCTGATGAAGGATCAAATGAAAAGTTAGACATTCTCAGAACTGAAAACATTTTTTTAAAGGGCACATGAGCAACAACTACGTATAGTTAAAAAGTGATCAAATATTAACTTCCTCTTCTGAGTGCTCTAGTGGAAATCCAGTTCCCTTAATTATATTAAAAAAATACGAGTTTTTCCTAAGGCATACACATATGTATATATAAAAGAATTCATCTCTAATTTGGTGCGAAATTTTTTAGGAGCAAAAATCCTTTATTTTAGAGAAGTTGCAGCGGCTTTGGTGCAATGCCACTGTGTAATGCGGAGAACTCCGGATTATGCTAAACTGCTAGGCAGCTTGTGTAAATGATGCGGCAGCTACTGTTTATTATTTGTCAAGGTCTGTTGGCATTTAAAATTTCATGATTTGATTTCTATTTTCAACGCATATGTTAGCCAAAATGCGAAAGTAATTTCAATTTTTACATATACTTTTTAATAGTGTTACTAATAATAACTTTGTTGAGTGCCTTGGGTTTTTTTTTGGTTGCTGTAAACCAAATGCAGAATACTTTGAGAAAATGTAAAAAAAAGAAAGGTGGCAGCAGAGGTTCTCGAGAAAGGAGGTCATGAAAAGATAGGAAAAAAGAATACAGTCCCTTAGAAAATAAGAAAAATTCAAAAAGTACTGCTAAAAAAGTAGCGAATACTGAGCTAAAACGGTAAGGAATGATGGGGAGAAAAAGAAGTGTATTTTGCTTCAACTTCGTACATTTCTGTTTCAGATGTCCTTCTTTTAGTTAGGTTTAAAGAAATATAGGAATACGTTTACTTTCTTACGTAATTACTGTAGTAAAAATGCGCATGAATGTTGTTTTTATTCTTCTCCTACTGCAGCCTAGAGAGCCATCTGTAAAAAAACAAAAAATTGTGGAAAAAAACGTAATATGGATGATAGGGAAAGCCATGAAGTAAGTGAGCGGGGAGGAATACCTAATAGTGGGAAGAGAAAAAAAAGAACAACGAAAGGAACGGGAGCACGGCGGCTAAACCGCCGCTACACAGACTTAGGCCGCATTTGTAAATAACTTCTCTGTAAATAGTCCGGTATTTGTAAAATTTTCTAGTGTATTCTCAAGTAGTTAAAGTTAAAATAAACTTCTTCTTTGAGAAAAATATGGAAGAATCATGTACTGTCTTAAATAAAAAGGAACCTTAACTGCGCATTATACAAAAAGGATACAATAACCAAACTAAAATTAAACCCATTTCTTTACCTAAATGGTGCAATATTTAAAATTTGCTGCAGCCACATAGGCAATAATTTTACATCTTCACATAAGCACTTTCTAGAACCTAAAAATCAAAAAAAGAGGTAATTCCCCGGGCAAATAAGTTATTTTTACTCGAGAAGTAACATAACT